AGAAACACTGCGATTCACACAAAATCATGTACACTCATACCTCCATTATCCAGACCCTTAAGTTACAGGCACTCCCGTCTACCGGGCAAGCAAAGTTCTGATTGAGGCATGCATTGATACGACGAACTACAGAGTTGAGTGAAGTAACGTTATTTTTGTTGTTATGATGCAGTCGGTATTACTAATACTTACATGTACCATAAGTTTCGACTTTGTTTTTGTTGTTCTGTGTTAATGCCACGTCGTTCTGCAGTGTCGCGTGTGCCAAGCCCTCGGTGACCGGGCCGCAAGTCTGTTGGCTGCAAAGAGCTACAGTGCAATGCAGAGCAAGGTAACGTAGTTCTGATGCTACGTGGTGACACAGTCTCGATGCAAGATTGGCAAGTTTCCCAATCCTGGCAGGGCAGGTATTTTCTATCATAAATTTATCAAGCACTCTTTGCTGGATGGCCTGGCAATGACAAAACTACACCAAGGTATATATAGCACTGCAAGCTTTCTCAACTGGCTGGCATAGAACGTTTCATGTTTCTCCTATGTTCACGTAGTCTGTTTATTTTTTTCCTTTTGGCTTAGTTCTCGTGCTGGAGTCCTTGCTTTCTACATTCAGTTGTTGTTCTTCACGTATATCTGCACGTTTCCTTTCTGCACAGTTCTTTTGAAAAACTGTGTCATGCATCATAATAGTTAGCTAGGGTGAATCACAGGTACAGAATTATGTAGTCCTGACTCAGGGAGTCGTAAGATACCGACTTCCTGTCCTGACTCTGTTCGTAATGCCTTGTGGGTATTGATTGGCCGGCAACATTACTGTATGTTCCTGGCCAGGAGTCGTACAATACCGGTATTTTACGACTCCCTGCTTCTGGCCGTATTTCACTGCAGTGCCGGTAGTAACTGCAGCCAGCTTCCTTCTGTTAGATCCGTACTCTTTCTTACTGGCTGACTTACCAAACAGAGAGGATAGAATTGCTCGAGTATTATGTTTCAATCTTGTAGTGCAGTGTGTGTTACTTTCTAACAGTCTTTCTTCATCAGTTTTTACTTGAAGATCGTCTCCTGGTTCTTTCAGTGAACTGCATGTTTATCTGTCCATGATTCTGGTTGCTCACTGCTACAAGTAGAAATCAGCCTGGTCTTCAACACCAGCTTGTGACGTTGTGTCATTGAAAGTCAGCCAGGTCTCAGTACTGCCTGTTCTGCCTTGGAGTGAATCTTCGTTTACAGTGTACACCCCGGTGTTCGCTTGATGTCGGCTCAGCGAATGTGTGTCATACCGGTAATTATCGTCAGGTTACGGTGCTCACTTACTTGACTGCATGCAGATAGGCTCGTATCCATAGCATCAAGAGTCTATAAAAATTAACATGTCTTCTGCACTCTTGATAGCATACTTGGTTTCTAACTTCATTAGCGTTTACAGGATCAGGCTCTCCCAGACTGCACTGGTCAGTAAGGGTCGTAACTAAAGCCCCCCCCCCCCCCCCGGACTTGAACTACAGTAGTACAGTACAATCATGCTGGTCCCAGGCCCAGTTCGCTGTGAAAGCTTCCGCTGTCCCTTGAGCCAGTTGGGCCAACTATAGTACAGTGGTCCCTCTATAATCCGGCACCATTTGTGCCACGAAAATCTGCTGGATTAGGGAGGGTGCTGGATTAACAAATCTGATTTACTGCTGCAATGTGCATGAAGAGGACATTTTGGCTACTGAAAATTGTGCTGGTTTATCGAGGGTGCTGGATTATAAAGTGCCGGATTAGAGAGGGACGACTGTATTACTTGGGACTGAGTAGACCTGTGCGGTTGGGCATTTGCACGTCTGGATGCGTGGCCTATGCCTTTTTGCAGCCACATCCGCACCGCTAGCGCTAGCTATTCGTGCAGAGTCACCATGGTCACACGTCTGTCGTGGTGAGCTGACACTTTCATCACCAGGGAGTCGTCAAATACCGACTCCCTGTTCATCACCTATACCGGCGTGGTGCGCGATACCTATCCTGGCGCGCGCCATAGATCTATTACTCCGACATTGGAAAGGCTTCCTGTCTGAAGCCTTTCCATACTGGTACTCGATGTTCCAGTTTTGTGACACGAGAATGGCACGAGAATTAGTGTACCGCTGAGTGTACCGCTATACACGTGGTCGACACGTAGTCGACACGTTGTTGATATTTTTTTGACACGTGACCCCGTCCACGCGTCTGCTTTGTGCCAATGCCACTCGGTAAACGCCGATGTCGCGTACGACAAAGACGACTATCCCGCACGCGAAATAGTTGAGAATTGCATGACGTGGACCTGACGGCAAGGACAACTGCGAGGAGGCCCCTTTCGGTACCCCTGACGGGAAGGAGAACTGCAGAAGTCGACGAAGTCGAACGAGGAGGTCCCTTTTCCGTACCCCATACTGCAAAGTGCCATTGGTGGATACCTTGTGCACCTGGAACGACCCCTTAAACGCTGTCGCGGCGACTATCCCGTACGCGAAATAGTTGAGAACTGCTGACGTGGACCTTTTGCACCTGGAACGGCCCCGTAAACGCTGTCGTGTCGGCGGAGTGAATGTGCAGGGTACTAGGGTGAAAAGAATTGCTGCAAAGACGTCCCCTCTACTAGGCTCTAGGCCTTTGCCTTTGGAGACATCGTCGGCGAACTGAATGCGCAGGGCGAAAAGAATTGCTGCAAAGACGTCCGCTCTAGGCCTTTGGAGACATCGTGGGAACTCCTTCCGGTACTATACAAACTGCTGACGTGGCCGTGGACATGTACATGGAGAGTCATGGTGGGACTTCATGTACATGGATACATGGTGGGAATTCCTTCCGGCACCCCCGTACCGCAAAGCCAACGGTGGGGAAGGAGAAGTGCAGACGTGCAGGAAGACGAACGAGGAGGAACCAGGACGAGCGAGCAATGGCAGGACTAGCTGGACCGTAAGTAATAGCTGAATTGTGCATGACAACTTGACATCCATGCGGCACTCGCCACTTGTCACTGCATATTTCTTGTCCACTAACAATGTCTCTCTTCTGCCCCCTGTGTGTCCACGGCCCTGTTGCTGAATTGGCCCGATGAATCGAATGTCTTCCGCAACTGGAACGGCCCCGTGAACGCTGTCGCGTCGGCGACTGAATGCGCAGGAGGGAAAATATTGCTGCGAAGACGTCTCCTCTAGACGACGGTAAGGCACCCCATTGATATGTTGCCAGTGTGTGCCAGGGTATCACGCGATGGTGAATGAGGAATGATGAAGGGTACGGTGGGACTGTAGACCTGTTACCTTCTACTAACACGTTATCAGGTGGAGAGTGTCTTGTACTCACGTTATCAGGTCGAGAGCGTATTGTGCACTCTCTCCATTCCTGTACTTTATTACGTTTAAGGTGTACGTATAACTTCTCAAAAAAATTTAATGGTCTACAGTCGTGTCGGAAGGGTACGGTGGGACTGTAGACATGTTACCTTCTAACACGTTATCAGGTGGAGAGTGTCTTGTACTCACGTTATCACTATATCAGGTCGAGAGCGTATTGTAGTCACTCTCTCTATTCCTGTAGTTCATTACGTTTCAGGTGTACGTATAACTTTTCCAAAAAATTTAATGGTTCACGTCTTCAGATAGAGAGCGTATTGCACCCACTGTCTAGTCTCTGTAGTGCATTGAGATTTTGTTGATCGAACATGAAATGGATACACAGACAAAGCCAGGCCAAGTACATGGCGAGATGTCGCCAGAAGAACGTCTTCAGGTAGAGAGCGTATTGCACCCACTGTCTAGTCGATTTTGTGGATCGCACATGAAATGGATACACAGACAAAGCAGGCCAAGTACATGAGAGAGTGGACGATGTGCAGATCGACACGGCCTGCGGGTACTTCATTAAAGTTACCCGTGACATAACTAGGATAAAAGTTAATCACTGCAAAAACATTGCCAAGTATGTGAGCACTTTGGACTTGACAGAAGAGTGCACGGGCGACGTTGACAAAACATACGGCGGTGACTGTCACTATCAAGACAGCAGGGCACATCGCACACAGCATCGCAGATCGTGTCGAATTGCGCATCATAATATTGCAAAATTGCTCCTGTGCATGCAAGTGGATTTCATTGCACTTCTCAGTTTGGGAACTTGCTCGATTATGACAATTCTGCGTGTGAGTGCACTAGCCCTGAACAGACATGTAGGTGAACCGTTTGTGGTGCCTCATAGCCTACCTCACGACCTTCTGCTTTCTTTCTTCATCACTTGTATCTTGCAGGTATATCATCCCGTGACGACCACATTGAAGTCTGAATTTGAAGTGTGAAGATGCTTCAGCAACCACATCGTACTTTTCCATTGCTTTCATTGTGCTTCTACTGTGCATGTGTGTAACTTGTGGGGTAAACATGTGATGACATTGTATGCTGGCGACACAGTCAGATGTCCATGCGTCTAACGTACACCTGCATGTTATGCATTGAAAAGGGTTTGCCACTTGCAATCCTGGGACGAGTATCAGGTCCGCTTTGTCCTGTGTGGGCTGTATCAGATTGCTGTTCACTTCTCTATCTGTTGGATATGTGACTTTCTGCAAGTTTCTGGTGTATGATGGCCACGTCCTTGCTTGTCACTTTGTATGATATTACATTCTGTATTCGCTGCTTCCATGGCATGGTCTGCAAACTACAATCCTTGGGCAAATGTCATGTTTCCTATGTTGTGCTTTGGCCGTCAGCTTGTATACACGCTGTAGTTGAATTATTTTTGTTTCACAACTGACTTCCTCAAGTACGGTGGCCACTGCTTTGCATGGCATTATACATGAAGAATTTCCTGTTTGTGTCGTGTGCATGTGCGTATGTGTGCGTGGCCACGTGTGTGTGCCGTGTGCATACACATGTTTGTGTAGTTGGGGTGGGGAGGGAACGGAAAAAGAGCTGAAATTATCCATATAAAAATCGCTCTGTGAGCGGTTCTGAAAAACCTTTACTGGTACTGCCCCGTCGTAAAAGTAAGAAATTAGAACTGGCCCATTGTCCCCCCAAATGCGAACTGATCCACCTAAATCGCGAATGACGGGACCCGAACGCACCAGTAGCACGAGGTTCCTACCTGTGGATGCAGATGGGGACGTTGGTCCGGACCATAGGCATAGGCCAACTGTACTAGCGGTAGGCTTCCCTATCAAAATAATAACTTCTACTGCTACTACTGGTGTTACCCTGATAATTGCCGTGATCCTGTGCCCTCCCGACCTCGTGCTACTGGTGCGTTCGGGTCCCGTCATTCGCGATTTAGGTGGATCAGTTCGCATTTGGGGGGACAATGGGCCAGTTCTAATTTCTTACTTTTACGACGGGGCAGTACCAGTAAAGGTTTTTCAGAACCGCTCACAGAGCGATTTTTATATGGATAATCTATGATTATGAAGCATTGATTCGTGGAAATGAGAGCCGGCCGTTGGCATAACCATTTCCGTTGACCATGGTTGACCCAGTCCCCAGCTTGCTTTTGTCAAAGCTCGCCTCTTAGTTTCGACTACAGCCCCAACTACTCCTCCACAGGGAGAACAACTAGAAGCCTTTCGCGGTTCATCGATTCTACAACAAACAACAACATTCGTCACAGCAGTGGGTAAGTCCTTGTTTTTCACGAAACCTTTCTATTTTGTTAGCGTCCAGATTTCCGTTTGGACTTACACGATTTTGACTCTTCTCCCTCGAAACGTTGGTCGGGAAACGAGGACTTGAAGTTACATTAGTTACCGTGGACATGATGTATATCTTTGCTTTTTGTTGTTGTTGTTGTGTAGAATTTATGTTGTATAGGGTGTTGTTCCGTCGACAGTTTCTTCGGTGCATCCGTGATGAAGTGTCGTCGAATGTCGAACGGGCGGTTTGGCGTTCGTGCACAGCTGGCTTCACCGTCCACGCCGGTGTTGGTACAGTTCGCCGTTGCATGTACGGAGCTGTCTGTCCAGCATATTCTAGGATGTCCGACGGGCTGCACGCGGATACTGGAGCCACCGACCACATGCAGCGGAGGTGAACTGCGGCTCATCTGTGCTGACGGCAACACTGAGAGGTGCGGCGCAAAGCTAACCCAGTAAGGGGCATTCGAATAGTCTTCAAACTTTTCGAACAAATTTTAAAAGAGATTAGTTGAAGTGTCCCAATAGAACGGTTTCTATTATTTTAGAGTTTTTAGTGGATTTGTCAGGGCGATAATAGAGAGGTTAAGATGCACGTTATTTCCGACGTGACGCGCAATTTCACTTCAAATGGGTCATCGATAGGCGTGGTTGAAACACCGAATTTCGAACTAAGATGCAGCTCTCTCGCGTTTTTTCCAACGCGAGTTTTACAAATTTGGGCCTGTATTTCTGCTTGTATTTTGTTAAAATCGTAGGTTTACAGGACTCATCCTTCGGATTTTGGAATCTCGTCGAGCCGAAAATAATATTACGAGCACGAGACTGCTGCTAGGATGTAGACCAGTAGTGGCAGTCCAAGACAAGAGATGAAGACAGTCCTTCATGCAGCCCAGGGGTAAACTTATGGACTCATGAGTCTTGGATCTTGATCTTGGTGATACCGCACCGGTGTGCTCTCATCAGAGTCCTCTCTCTTCGACGCTTATCGAGAACTGCATGGTTATCCATTTCTCGGTAGATATAAATTCAAGAGCAGCTTTTTTCCTTTCCTCTTTCTCCTTTTTGTTAGCTAGTTGCGACACCGATTTGTGCTGTGCCATGGAAACTCTGTCGGCACCCTGAGATATTCGCATGCGGAAGGACCACCCTTTGGGACGAAGTTTCCGAAGCGGTATGAAAATGGTTCCTTGTGGAGATGAAGGGCTTAACATGTCGGGCATGCAGAGACAGGACAATCCGCAAAATAAAGAAGTTTATGAAGGAGGACAACAAGAACAGGAGGAAGAGTGGGACGGAGGAAGAATAGCAGGAAGGACGAACTATTGACTGAGCTCGCTCAGCGCTGGCAAGCAGCCTAGCTAAAGACACAGAGCGTTACAACAGCAAAAAAAGGCCAAAGCAAAGGCAGACAACGAGAACGGCAAACTGCATTGAGATGCTGCGATGACGAGCCTTATAGGTAGGGATTGCTCGAAGAGAAAGAAGTCGGATGGTCCCACGGATAGCTCCAGTGATTCATCCATGTCAGATGTGGAGGAGGAAGACAACCATCCGAAAAGAAGAGCAAACAAACGCAGCAAGCGCAAGGGTGACGTGGCACAGGGCTTACTAGATTCAAGTAGATTGGTTGAAGAGCAAGAGTAAAGCGGAGCAGGAGCAGAACGCTTAAGTTGAAGGAGCAAGAACTGCGTCACATGATTCGGGAACTTGAGTTGCAGCTCCAGACTCCAAAGCAGTGGTAGCCAATCTCGGTAGGGCAGTATTGTATGATTGCGTATGAATACTGACTTCCTCTATGTGCTCTCTCAGGCTCTCGTGTGTGTGTCTTTGTTTAGCATCTGTCTCTGTCACTCACACTCTTTGTCTCTCTCTAGCTTTCTCTCTCTCATCTCTCTCTCTCTCATCTCTCTCTCTCTCATCTCTCTCATCTCTGTCTCTCTCTCTCTCCCTCTATCTATCTCTCTCTCCCTCTCTCTCCCCTCTCTCTCCCTCTCTCTCCCTCTCTCTCCCTCTCTCTCCCTCTCTCTCCCTCTCTCTCCCTCTCTCTCCCTCTCTCTCCCTCTCTCTCCCTCTCTCCCTCTCTCTCCCTCTCTCTCTCTCTCTCTCTCTCTCTCTCTCTCTCTCTCTCTCTCTCTCTCTCTCTCTCTCTCTCTCTCTCTCTCTCTCTCTCTCTCTCTCTCTCTCTCTCTCTCTCTCTCTTTCTCTCTCTCTCTCTCTCTCTCTCTCTTTCTCTCTCTCTCTTCTCTCTCTCTCTCTCTCTCTCTCTCTTTCTCTCTCTCTCTTTCTCTCTCTCTCTTTCTCTCTCTCTCTTTCTCTCTATCGCGCGCTGTCTCTCTCTCTCTCTCTCTCTCTCTCTCTCTCTCTCTCTCTCTCGCACGCTCTCTCTCTCTCTCTCTCTCTCTCTCTCTCTCAGCAGTTTACCCAAATATCATTGAAATAATTTGGTCAATTTTATGGACATTATCATGTGGTCAAATGTTATGGTGGAGAAGGACTTGCATGGCGATTACCGCCAGCTAAAGTATCAACAAATGAAGAAAAGGACAGGATTGGCAACTAAACATACATGTTCCAATCAGCTCCTTTCAATAACCACAAACCTTCAGGCATATGGATGCATAATTTAGACAGCACAATTTGAGGGTATAAGAAAACTAAATAAACTGGGGAAAGCAGAGGAGAGAAAGCCCTGCGAGGTGGATAAGGTAGTGCAAGTACATGTAAGTTCCACTGAGCAAAGGAAAGACAGCACCAAAAAAGAGTTAGCGCGACACAGAAGATTACATGTAGGTTTGGCTTTTGTGCATGCGTGCAATGGCGACGAGCAAGACTGAGATGAGCCAGTGCTGGCACATCGTAATGCAGAGGACTCCAATTGTCCAAGCATAAGAACTTGCTGACACCCCAGGGCAGTTGCGGACATGACAGTTCACTGGAGGTAGTCTTCCAAGTGTGGTGGCTTGATCCGAAACTTCCTGCTAACCTGGTCATGCCTCAAACAGGCATGGCAGTTGGTCAGCAACACTGCTCTGCGGTAGTATTTTCCACTGGGGATAGAACGCACCTTCAGATTCTTCTTGAATGCCGTGAAAGCGAATACCGATTGCACCCTGCCAAAGGCCCCATTCGACAGAAACACAAAGGCTGCTCATCACAACGTTGAAGTTCGCTTGACCCTGGGGCAGGTTGTTCCCACGGTATGGAGTTTGAACGAAACGATGTAGGGCATACCCTTGATCAGCAATAACAACATAGTCCGCCTGACCTTCCTCAAGTTCTTGCGTCATGTGCTGTATCATTTGGTCAGTAAGACCACTTTCTTGTAGCTTGGCCATGCCATGCCTGCGGCCCTCCATTGGCCCAAAGAGATGGGCTATAAGACCACATGGTGTCATGATTGCCTGGTACTTCAGCCGGTGCTCTCTCTTGTGCCCACTGTAGATAAGTCTTTGGTCGCGAATTGATCTACACACTTTGTTGTGCCTTCAAGAAATCCCCATCCATTCTGGCAAGGAGCACCAGCGACGTGAACTGCATTGCTCAGCCAGGGGCTGTTCAAATGATCCAACAAGTGGCTCCAGTGTTGATGAATGATAACCACTGTCTTGTTGGTGACCAGCGAGAACTTCGGCTCGAAAATGCCGAAGAACTCTCGCAGCTGTGCCAGATGACCGGGATAGCACAGTCTTCTCGGAACAACTAGCAAGGCGAATTCGCCACAAAATAGCGATCCGTTGTATGTTCTTATTCTGGTCGGAATTTGGAGAGCAGTCCGCAGGCGAGTGAAATGCCATCGTCTGAATCGAAATAACTTCCTAAACTGTCTCGCATTCAGCTGGCTCACGTCAAGAAGTCCACGAGCATGGCCAGTAAGTATTTCGGTGCCTTTTCCTGCCATTCCACTGCTCCTGGTGCCCGACAAGAGCAATGATGGCCATAAGTTCTTCATCGTCCAGATCATCGAAAGCTATGTGATGGCCATAAGTTCTTCATCGTCCAGATCATCGAAAGCTATGGCTGCAACAGCAACCATAAGAACTCCTGTACATAGTAGTATCTGTAAATGGTTATGATTATGGCATACTTCAAACAAACAAAATCGAAATGGAAACGCTAGGCTTCAAACAACAGTCAACAGGAACAAAGTATGGTTACAAGCAAGAGTCCATAACCCACAAGCAGAGGTAAGGACTCTTGCTTCCAAGCATACGTTATGGACTCTTGTTGGAAGTCGAGTCGGGACTTCCATGAGTGAAAAAGTGGCAATAGTTCACGTTTAGTCTCCGACTTCCTAGTGCCTAGCTATGTAGTGTAGATCCTGATTGTACAAACATTGTACTTGTGCCGTCACAAGCACAAAAACAGACACAGCATGCAGTACAGTACATACACGCACACACGTGCGCACACACACACACAATCGAGGCGTGCGCAAGAAAAACACCATGAAAATCCAAAAGAACCTAATGCAAAATTAAGATGTGGAAAGGCACGCGTACGTACGTGGACGCAGAGTAACAAAATCGTATCCTCTCAAAACGCTCAAGCCAAATGACGTGAGCTGAACTTTCACATCGCGTTGGAAATAACGTGCATTTTGACCTCTCTAATGACGTCCGATCAGATCGACTATCTCGGCGTAGCTATTCCAAACTCTTCAGAACTAATCCACCTCTCCCATCGGATGAGGTTGTGGAGTTTCGAGGAGTTTCAAAGAGTTTCGTTTTTCTGAAGAGGCCAATAAGCCACCTCTTCAGAAAAACGAAACCCCTCGAAAAGTCAAAGAGTGACAATTCAAACTCACCCTACGTGCAGTAGGCGGCCCAGCACTTTTTTGTCTGATATCCAGACAAGTCGTTTCCGAGCCACCACTGTATTTTTGTGTTCTTCTTCCCGTTGTGTTTATTTGGCTGCAGACGAATGACTTTCACCACTCCAATCTGAGTCGGCGTGCTGACACCCTCCATGCACTATGTGACTATGCACTGGTACGTGACACTGACGGTGTGTGTGGTGTGTGTGTGTGTGTGTGTGTGTGTGTTTGTGCTGGTGAGGGAGTAGAGGGCAGGTTCATAATATACATAATATACCGTGACTGGTACATGCATGTACAGTTGCGGCCAAAGAAATCTGCCCCCCCCCCTCCCCCGGGTCAAAAGTAGCGCCGCGTTTGCATTTCCATTACGTCATGCACAGTACAAAAACCCATTCCAGGGTTGCACCCATAGTTCGTGGGTATGTAATGCAGTCAGCGCCCCGCCCCACACCAGACCACATACACAGAGTCGCATACTCTCGGGGGTAGAGTTGCATACTCTCGAGGTTATGTAGTCTTGACGCCAGGCATATGGATTTGTACTATATGCAGCGCCCCGTGTCCGCTTGACTTCTCACTCACCGGGTTTCAATGTCCATAACAGTACATGTATGTGGCAATGCACCAAACTGAAGTCGTGGCCAAAGAAATCCGACCCTTGTGCCGAGAGCAGCGCCAAGGCTCATTCGTCCTCTTCGGCCCTCACATCTGTTTTTGGAACATGGACGATGTAATTAAAATGTAAACGCAGGGCTACTTTTGACCCTCGGGTCGGATTTCTTTTGCCACGACTGTACATGTAGGATTTGTCATGTGCTTCAGTCTCTCACTGAGGAAGAGAAACAGGAGAAGGCAAAGGTTTGAGCATCCCACGAAACTACAGCAACGGGAGTGGTCACTCGTACAGGTGTTGCACAACTATGGTCTGGCAAAGAGTCTACCCTGTACCACAGTGTACACTATGTCATGATATGATGCCATAGTGCATGGCCCACACGGTGCATGGCCCACACGGTGCATGGCCCACACGGTGCATGGCCCACACGGTGCATGGCCCACACGGTGCATGGCCCACACGGTGCATGGCCCACACGGTGCATGGCCCACACGGTGCATGGCCCACACGGTGCATGGCCCACACGGTGCATGGCCCACACGGTGCATGGCCCACACGGTGCATGGCCCACACGGTGCATGGCCCACACGGTGCATGGCCCACACGGTGCATGGCCCACACGGTGCAGATACCATGGTGCATATACCATGGTGCATATACCATGGTGCATGGCCCACACGGTGCACGACACACCCTAGTCAGATTGAGCTTCTTTTACGGTCGAATGCTGGTGCATGCACGCTGCACTCACTGACTGTAACTGTACTCTGCCACCGGGAGCGGCAACGGCGTAACAGCGGCTAACTCTGACCATCGTATGTTACGGTTAGTTAGTTAGTTAGAAAAGGAAAGATGGACGCCACAGTCCGCACTGCTTTCCTGGACGGGGATTGGCTTCAAAGTGGAGAAATAATAATGACTGCACGAGGCGGATAATCATGATAACGAGATACACGTAAGAGGCAATATTCTTACACTTAGACTGTCCCACGCAGCTGATGAGCACTAGATAGTACTTGGTCTGCCCAGTTAAAATTGGCGCTTATCTTCACACTTGTCTCAGGAAAGAAATACGAATATTTGAAGCAAGCCACGATCACAAAGCACTATCTATTTACATGTCAGTAAGCAACTCAGTCGAAAATTCAAGCAAGTTACACATCCTCCTCGCCACTACCGTCGCTGGAGGAAGAGCTCAAAACGTACGATCCGGACAGCTGCTGCACGGGTCGTTTCATAGCTTGTTCCACTTCTCCTCGTCTCGAATCACGCTCAAAGGCAGTGCGTGCCTGTCACCTTCCCATCAGAAGCTGAGTGAGACTGCCCGCATGTTGATTGTAAGTGTTATCCCCGTTCGCCGCATGTTTGTTTGAGACAAAAAGGCAACGCCATATCAGTGTCCTTTTTTTTCAAATCGCCTCTTGCGCTTGTCGTACTTGCTGATCAGCACCCGTACCCACGCTAGCCGCTGGTGCTTGAAGATCTACATGCAGCGCAGTGATAGCTTCCGCTTGATGTAGCACCTGTGCGTACTGCACCTACAACACGTACACCAGGCTTTTCGGCTAGTTTCCTGAAAGTCCTTTGCACGAGTGTTTCTCTCAGGACTTGGTGTTTTCTTTGATTAGCTCCTTTGCCCTGTCCTCTGTGAGCTTCAAAGTGTGTCCGCCGGATTGGTCTCACTCACTGGAGATATCGACAAGAGCTGCAGTTTCTTCGTCAGCGATTTGCTGGTGATAGCCCTTCACTAGGCGCTGTACTGTGCAAGCACTGAAATTCAAGCTCGCGAAGCGCTTTTTCAGCTTTTCTATACCTCCCCGGGGTAAACAATCCTTACCATAAGACAGCTGGAAGTAGACAGAAACTGTATTCTCCATCGCTCTGAAATGCGAACATCCTGACCCATTTTACGGACTCGAGCGGAGGTTGCAGTGTTTTCTTGCGCTGACGGAAGTGTTCGTCGGCGGCAGCTCCGTCAAAAAGACTCAAACGAACCGATCGCAACTTCTGTGATGGTTTGTGCTGCTATGTCGTCGGATGCAATGGTCAATGGTTATGTTCGGATGGTGAATCGGTGGTTCCATGCCGTGTGGCACAGGCAGAACACCAGAAAACAAAGTTAGAAGATAAGCGCCAATTTTAACTTGGCGGACCAAGTAGATACCTACTGCTCACTGTAGCTTCCTTTCCCGGCCTGTAACTATTACGCTGTATGCACTATGACTTTGTAGTGCGTACAGCGTAATTAAAAGGTGTACTTTTCGCTGGTGTGTAACTGGACCATGGAATGTATAGACCTGCGTAAAAGTCCATTTCCGGTAAATGGTCAAGTCCATGCTTTACGTGTCATCGTTTCGAGAGATGTTCACGTCCGAGAAAGATAATGAACCGCTCCACTCTCCTTCTGGTGTGAACTTCACCGCAGGGTGCAGGCCGTTGAGAGTGTTCAAGAACCTGTTGCTTCATCGTCATGACAGTAAACATCATCAACGAAACGACAATATATTGTTGGCCGAAGTGAAGGATCGATGGAGGATTCGCAGAAACCAACAGGTACGTTAGCAAGTACAGGACCCAACGGGGAGCCCATAGCAACTCCATCCACTTGCTTGTACATAATTGTTAGGCCCACAAGTAATTACATGTAGTTCATATTCATTAGTTCATGCATTATTCATTTGGCCTGGGTACTTGCGCGTCCATGTTTGCCATAGCTACCCAGGCCCTTTATATTGCTTTACTCTCTATTCAATAATCTCTTCAATAATCTCTCTTCAATAATCTCCCTCTTCAATATTCACCATGTAGTCGTTTCGTTCGTCCTGGTCTTAATCATCCCGCCTCTAATAAATGTCGTTCCATCAACATACCTGTTCCCGTTGTTTCCGTCGTTAGTCTCTTGTTCGGACTCAACATTGGCGCCCGGCTTTTGCCGAAGCCCGCGACCCTGGGATTCTCGTGTCTCGTCGCCAACCACGTCTCGTCGCCAACCTCGTCTCGTCGCCAACCTCGTCTCGTCGCCAACCTCGTCTCGTCGCCAACCTCGTCTCATCTCCAACCTCGTCTCATCTCCAACCTCGTCTCATCTCCAACCTCGTCTCATCTCCAACCTCGTCTCATCTCCAACCTCGTCTCATCTCCAACCTCGTCTCATCTCCAACCTCGTCTCTTCAATGTGAACCTCGTCTCGTCCAGGTCCACCTCGTCTCGTCATGCAGGTCATCTACCTTTCTCTCTTTCTTTTTTGTATGCGTTCCTTCTTCGTCAAATTTATTTTCGGTTTATTTATTTCGTGAATTTGTTTGTAGTGTGTGCGCGTGTGTTCATAACATATTACTAAATTAGAGGTCCGATCATGGTGAGCCACGCTCTAATTTTTGATGTTAACCCTTTAAGAGCCACAGGAAATTTTCAAAATTCTGCATTTTTTCGTGTTCCTTGGATCATAGCTTCAGTTCTACTCACTCAATCCTCACAATCTAGGGCTTCCTGGAAAGGTCTCCGCGAGAGGAAGAGAATGAGGTTGATCATGATAGCCAGCACACCGTCTATCCAGCGCTAGATCGCAGCGACAGCACGAAAAATGCCCCAAATGCGTCCAATTGCGTCCCGCTCCAGATATTTCATTTTGCTCGATCGTGGAGTTCCAATTTTTTCGCTGTGTACTCTTGACAATATCAACAGTGAAACCCGTGCAAATTCGAGTAAACCAGCGTGACGAAAAGTCTCAAAATTCTCAATACTAAAGTCGCACTGCGCGCTTTTGAAATTGCCGCGATCGCGGCTCAACTTACGAGTGATTTATCTCAGGAACCGTTGCTCGCAGCGCTTCGCGGATTGTTTCTCCCGACAGGTGAGAGTTTTCTCTTCGCCCTGGATATTTCGATCACTGGATTTGAGCTAGATTGGACTGAGTTACGATCTTTTGAAGTTTTGCATTTGAATGCGTCGTTTACGACGCATTCAAGTATGGAGCGGCTCTTAAAGGGTTAAGCAGAAGTGCAACTACGCTATTTTTAGCCATGCAAGCAGTATCAGTAGGTTCCTCGTCACGTCTAATTTCTTGTCTTTAGACTTAGAGAAGTACAGGAACAATAACTGTAATGCATGATACTAGTAAACACTTTTGTGAGATCCGTGCGCACGTGCAGTGTGTGTGTGTGTGCGTGTGTGTGTTTTCTTTTTTTTTCTTTCTCCCTCAGTCATCTTTTATCTTTTTCTCTCTTTTTTCTTTCTTTCTTTTCTCCGCGAGGACGCGGCATTCTTTTTTCATGGAGGGGTGGTATGTTAGGCCCACAAGTAATTACAATACTATTATAATTATTAATTCATATAATTCATTAGTTCATGCATTATTCATTTGGCCTGGGTAGCTACTTGCGCGTCCATGTTTGCCATAGCTACCCAGGCCCTTAATATTTCTCTTCAATCAGCTCTCTTCAATAAGCTCTCTTCAATATTCTCCCTCTTCAATAATCACCATGTAGTCGTTTCGTTCGTCCTGGTCTTAGTCATCCCGTCTCTAATAAATGTCATTCCACCAACCTACCTGTTCCCGTCGTTAGTCTTTTGTTCGGACTCAACATAATGTTATCAAAAGAGAATTCCACGCCTGAGGTTACCATCAACATAAGCTTCACAAACGCATTTTCGTTGAGCTTGGGTGGAGTGGGTGACTTATTATGATACAATGCCGCAGCGCAAATGTAAATTGGCTTGCGACAGCGTATGAACACATGATGCCACTGGATTCAAACCCGGATTCTTGAAAACACTCCGAACGAGACTCTGCTCTCTCCCACTCAGTTTGTTCCTGTGAACGTCGCATTGTTGACTGAAGGAAGCCCATGAGAACTGTTCTTTCTTAGAGTACTTCTTGAACTGTTCAGCTGTACTCGAAAGGATCGACTGCTTGGCATCTTGTATATCACCGAGAAGAGAGCCAAGCCAAACGCCAGGTTTCTGCAATTGGGTAGCCCATACATTCTTGGTCTTACGGACCCTTTTGGGGCTAAATGTTGGTACTCGTAGTCCGTGATCTGGTGTGATTTGGAGAGGAAGAGCAGGTATTTGCTCAATCTGATATCGATATTCTCGGTGTTATCATACCCATAACAAGGTCCAAGCATGCAGAATGTTGTGGTATCATCAGTATCACCGTCATTTTATCTCCGTAGTTGTCAGCAGACATTATGACTGTCGCTCGCCCTTTATCAGGGTGCAAGATGACCATATCCGGATTTGTTCGGAGCTCTTTGATCACTTTCAGGTGTTCCCTTGACAACGAAAAGGATCGGGTGTCCGGGGGTGACTTTACAAACCTAAACGCTTCAGTGGCCAATGAGGCCCGGCAAGAAGTTTCATTTTATCCTTGATTTCTGGATTTTTGTGTCGGATAATGTGGGCTTGCATTACGCTCGTGTCGTTGGCATTTTTGGGAAGACTGTTTGCTAACTGCTGCTGCATCTGCGTCTTTGATCCTTGAGGGTGGTGGTGTTCCTAGGCTACGGGTGCGGAAAGCTGTAACTGAATATAACGGGAACCATGATTTCTTCTTCTTGTTCTGCTAACTGCATCTTGTCCTGTAAACATTTCAATGTTTTGTTGTTCTGCAGTTTCATATACGTGGTAACACGGTACTAGCTACCACCAGCACGGAAAGTTTTATTGTTCTGTTACTGTGGCTTTGGTGGTAAGGTAAGAGACCTCTTGTCTTGCAAATACGTTAATGCACTCATCCAACGGCACGCGCACAGATCTTGCTCATGATGTTGTCGTGCTTGTCACACGTGGCGCTAAGTCATCATCAGCAGCAGCACCCCACTGATCAGTGTGTAGTAGCACCCTGACATTAGCCATGTTCATTGCCAGAAAGAACTGTGTACACTCTACCTGCAGGTACGACAGTCGATCCTGAATTACGCATGCTATTACGCAACTGTCTCTTATGGTGCTGTGGTTCAATATGTATGCATAGTTTTAATGAATTATGTTCTTCCAAATGCATAGTGATCGCAGGATTGTAATACCCAGCTACATTTTTTTTGGTTGTCCAACGATACAAGCAGACCGAATTGGTGTTGTTTTTTAACGCATTTTCCCCATGCTATTCAGGTTAGATTCCTGTGATTATTCAGGGTAGCGCCTGTCGTCTTTTCTACATCAATTTTTATTTTGCGTATTGGTAACCCAAAAATAAATCGTTTGTGTGGTATCTGGTGTCCCCACTGATTGACTGATCCTGGTCCCCTAGACGTCTTCCACGGTTGCTGGTATATTTCCTTCTTCCATTTATGGCTTTTCTTTCATGGGTTTTCCTTTGTGATTTATGATTCAAGTTATGCCTATGATAACACAGTGTTTCTTTGTGTTCTTTGCCCGGTGTGTTTGCTGCCAGATGATTGGATCAATGCCCGGTACTGCTGCAGAGGTCATCGCTGCTCACGGGTGACGTCAGTTGAGCCTGGGTGCATCACCATTGCCACGAGATAAAGCACTCATTACCTATCCAACAGTCTCGTCCCTGCATATTTGTTTTATTTTATTCCCGCCTGTCTATGTTGTGCACATAATATTTTCTGTGGTCTTCTTCTCCGGTCTGTATTCTCGTTTTCCTCCACTTTTTCATAGGCAGTAGTTATGTTGTCGTTGCCCTTTGTACGGCGTTCGCCGCTGAGTACCTCCACCTACTATGTTGTCGGTGCCTTGCCCCTTTTGGCGTTGCAGGTTTAGCCACTGCACGCGTGCGTATATTTATTTCCCTGATTTTCTTCTCCGATAGAATTTCCGACTTGTTTCTCCTTCCTCATGCAGCCATCAGCTTCAGCCATCAGCAAGCCAAGAAGAAAACACTTGCTGTTTCTGATTGGCTGAGGTGGTTGACCAATCATTTCAGGTGTGAAGTTCAAAGCCAGGAAAGTAATCACTCCTAGGTGGGTTTGGGATGGCTAGAATTGGTCGGGGTTCGGGATGGCTAGAATTGGTCGGGGTTTGGGCTGGCTAGAATTGGTCGGGTTTTAGCCGGGATGGCTAGAATTGGTCAGGTTTGGGATGGCTAGAATATCGGGGTTTGGACTGGCCAGAATTGGAAAGGGGGGTTGGGGTGGCTAGAATTGGTTGGGGTTTGGACTGGCAAGAATTGGTTGGGTTTGGGGATGGCTAGAATTGTTCGGGGTTTGGGTGAGCTAGAATTGGTCGGGGTTTGGGATGGCTAGAATTGGTCGGGGTTCGGGCTGGCTAGAATTGGTCGGGGTTCGGGCTGGCTAGAATTGGTCGGGGTTCGGGCTGGCTAGAATTGGTCGGGGTTTGGACTGGCTAGAATTGGTCGGGGTTTGGGATGGCTAGAATTGGTCGGGGTTTGGGCTGGTAGAATTTCCGGCTTGTTTCTCCTTCCTCATGCAGCCATCAACTTCAGCCATCAGCAAGCCAAGAAGAAAACACTTGCTGAACTCTGATCGGCTGAGGTGGTTGACCAATCATTTCAGGTGTGAAGTACAAAGCCAGGATAGGCTATAAAAGTAATCATTCCAGGAGGTGGGTTTGGGATGGCTAGAATTGGTCAGGGGAAACAGGGTCGGGGTCAACACCCAACCGGGTCTACGGGATTCTACGGGATATCGTGGAACTGTACAACTGGCAAAAGGCTTATTAGTCGGGGTTTGGGCTTGGTAGAATTGGTCGGGGTTTGGGCTGGTTAGAATTGGTCGGGTTTTAGCCGGGATGGCTAAAATTGGTCAGGTTTGGGACGGCTAGAATTGATCGGGGTTTGGACTGGCCAGAATTGGAAAGGAGGGTTGGGATGGCTAGAATTTGTTGGGTTTTGGGATGGCTAGAATTGTTCTGGGTTTGGGATGGCTAGAATTGGTCGGGGTTTGGGATAGCTGGCTAGAATTGGTCGGGGTTTGGGATGGCTAGAATTGGTCGGGGTTTGGGATGGCTAGAATTGGTCGGGTTTTAGCCGGGATGGCTAGAATTAGTCGGGTTTTTTGGACTGGCTAGAATTAGTCGGGGTTTGGACTGGCTAGAATTGTTCAGGGTTCGGGCTGGCTAGAATTGGTCGGGGTTCGGGCTGGCTAGAATTGGTCGGGGTTTGGACTGGCTAGAATTGGTCGGGGTTTGGGATGGCTAGAATTGGTCGGGGTTTGGGCTGGTAGAATTTCCGGCTTGTTTCTCCTTCCTCATGCAGCCATCAACTTCAGCCATCAGCAAGCCAAGAAGAAAACACTTGCTGAACTCTGATCGGCTGAGGTGGTTGACCAATCATTTCAGGTGTGAAGTACAAAGCCAGGATAGGCTATAAAAGTAATCATTCCAGGAGGTGGGTTTGGGATGGCTAGAATTGGTCAGGGGAAACAGGGTCGGGGTCAACACCCAACCGGGTCTACGGGATTCTACGGGATATCGTGGAACTGTACAACTGGCAAAAGGCTTATTAGTCGGGGTTTGGGCTGGGTAGAATGGGTCGGGGTTTGGGCTGGTTAGAATTGGTCGGGTTTTAGCCGGGATGGCTAGAATTGGTCAGGTTTGGGATGGCTAGAATTGATCGGGGTTTGGACTGGCCAGAATTGGAAAGGAGGGTTGGGATGGCTAGAATTTGTTGGGTTTTGGGATGGCTAGAATTGTTCTGGGTTTGGGATGGCTAGAATTGGTCGGGGTTTGGGATAGCTGGCTAGAATTGGTCGGGGTTTGGGATGGCTAGAATTGGTCGGGTGGCTGGCTAGAATTGGTCGGGGTTTGGGATGGCTAGAATTGGTCGGGTTTTAGCCGGGATGGCTAGAATTGGTCGGTTTTGGGCTGGCTAGAATTAGTCGGTTTTTTTGGACTGGCTAGAATTAGTCGGGGTTTGGACTGGCTAGAATTGTTCGGGGTTCGGGCTGGCTAGAATTGGTCGGGGTTCGGGCTGGCTAGAATTGGTCGGGGTTTGGACTGGCTAGAATTGGTCGGGGTTTGGGATGGCTAGAATTGGTCGGGGTTTGGGCTGGTAGAATTTCCGGCTTGTTTCTCCTTCCTCATGCAGCCATCAACTTCAGCCATCAGCAAGCCAAGAAGAAAACACTTGCTGAACTCTGATCGGCTGAGGTGGTTGACCAATCATTTCAGGTGTGAAGTACAAAGCCAGGATAGGCTATAAAAGTAATCATTCCAGGAGGTGGGTTTGGGATGGCTAGAATTGGTCAGGGGAAACAGGGTCGGGGTCAACACCCAACCGGGTCTACGGGATTCTACGGGATATCGTGGAACTGTACAACTGGCAAAAGGCTTATTAGTCGGGGTTTGGGCTGGGTAGAATTGGTCGGGGTTTGGGCTGGTTAGAATTGGTCGGGTTTTAGCCGGGATAGCTAGAATTGGTCAGGTTTGGGATGGCTAGAATTGATCGGGGTTTGGACTGGCCAGAATTGGAAAGGAGGGTTGGGATGGCTAGAATTTGTTGGGTTTTGGGATGGCTAGAATTGTTCTGGGTTTGGGATGGCTAGAATTGGTCGGGGTTTGGGATAGCTGGCTAGAATTGGTCGGGGTTTGGGATGGCTAGAATTGGTCGGGTGGCTGGCTAGAATTGGTCGGGTGGCTGGCTAGAATTGGTCGGGGTTTGGGATGGCTAGAATTGGTCGGGTTTTAGCCGGGATGGCTAGAATTGGTCGGTTTTGGGCTGGCTAGAATTAGTCGGGTTTTTTGGACTGGCTAGAATTAGTCGGGGTTTGGACTGGCTAGAATTGTTCGGGGTTTGGGATGGCAAGAATTGGTCGGGGTTTGGGATGGCTAGAATTTGTCTGGGTTTTGACTGGTTAGAATTGACCTTATGCCAGTTGTACAGATCCACGAAATCCCGTAGAATCCCGTAGAATCCCGTAGACCCGGAAGGGTGTGCAGTGTGTGCTATGCATGCGCATTTGACCAATTTTAGCATTTTATTTTCAGGGCAAGCAATCGCTTTTCCAGCTTCTTTACTTTCGTTAGAACTAATGACTAGCTAGATCTTTGTCAGAAAAAGGTTTTCGTATGAAATGCCTTCAGGGCCCATTTCTTAGTGGAAATAGCAGAAAACACAATACTGAGGGTCCTGCACATTCAACACCCAATCGTGTCTAAGGGATTCTACGGGATTTCGTGGATCTGTACAAATGGCAAAAGGCTCATTGGACAGGGTTTGGGATGGGTAGAATGGTCGGGGTTTGGGCTGGGTAGAATTGGTCGGGGTTTGGGTTGGCTAGAATTGGTCGGGGGTTGGGATGGCTAGAATTGGTCGGGGGTTGGGATGGCTAGAATTGGTCGGGGTTTGGGATGGCTACAATTGGTCGGGGTTTGGACTGGCTAGAATCGGTCGGGGTCTCCCCATTGAAACGCACACTACTTTGTACATGTATGTGATTGAGAGTTTTAAAAGACATTAATTTTGAAAGTTAAGGGCAGTGCCCGGTCTAAGACTGTCAGGATAAGCGAGGTAAGACTATGGGTGCAGACTGATTATTGTGCACTTTCCAAAATTTATGCCGATGGTCATGTAGCAAATACGGGTTGCCATAACTTTCCTGCCCAAGGGAGGGAGGGCCGGGAAGCCGTGGGGGTTGACCGTGATTCACTGCATACCATTACCAGGAAAGCCTCCACTGGCTGAAGACTGAAAGTATACAATAGTCAGTAGATCTGCACTACAGTGCTGAATGCACAGCCAGCATTTAGCGAGTCTACGCCGATCCAGTCTCGATTGTAAGACAACCGTTCGTGGGGTGGACATCAGGGAGTCGCAGGCGCGTACGCAGGGGGGGGGGGGGCTCCCGTTGCCCGGAAACTCCCAAATGTTCCAAACGAGCAACGATTTTGGGCATTCAGTGTTTGGTAGGATGCGCGTTCGATCTGACAAGAATGCAACACTTCAACAGATCTTAACTCAGTCAAATCTCGCTCAAATCCAACAATCCTAATATGCAGGTCGAATAGAAAACTCTCAGCTGTCGGTAGAAACAATTCGCGAAGCGCTGCGATCAATGGTTCTTGAGATAAATCATTCGTAAGTTGAGCTTGTGATCTTGGCAATTTCCAAAGCGCGGTGCACTCGAGTATCAAGAATTTGAGACTTTTCGTCACGCGTGCACGCTGACTTACTCAAATTTGCACGGGTTTCACTTGTGATATTCTGAAGAGTGCACAGCGAAAAATTGAAACTATGCCATCGATGAAAACGAAAATACAGTGAAACTTGTCTAAGGCGACCGCTCAATAGGCATTGGCGGATAATGCTCGAAAAGGTGGCAGATTCTGCTCGAAAAGCAGTGAAATTGGCAGAATCATACAAACCTTATGGCGGGCAATTCCTGGAATTCTGCTCCATTTCTTCATCCACATACCAAACATGCATGAAACTTACCAGAAAAAGTACCGAATTCTGCCAATTTTTCTGCCGGCATTATCCGCATATGCCTACCGCTCAAGGGACCTTCAAAATGTGGTCGCTGTGTACAGGTAGTCTCCTTATCCAGGGTCATTTGACTGGAAGTGAAAATCCTTCGTCCTAGTGGTAGTGGTCCTCTTGAACAGTTGGTCGCCTTATCAGAGTAGTTGCCTTGACAGGCTTTACTGTAGCTGGAGCAGGACGCGCTTCGACAAATTTGGCCAGTTTGGGGCATTTTTTCGCACTGTCGCTGCACTCTAGCGCTGGATATACTTATGTACCATGCTTACAGTGTCCTGGCTATCATGGTTGACCTCATTCTCTTCCTCTCCTGGATACCTTTCCACTTCCAGGTAGCCCAAGAGGATCAAGATTGAGCACGGAGTGGAACTGAAGTTATGATCCAAGCAGCACGAAAAAATGCAGAATTTTGAAAATTTCCTAGGGCTTTTTAAAAAAAAGGGTTACCGTATTTTCCGGAGTATAGTGCGCACCTTTGTATAACGAGCACCCCCAATCTTCACTGGGGGTGCGCAATTCAATCTTCATTGAAGTACATGCATTTCATATTCGGAGCATAGTGCGCACCTGCGATTTAGGGCCTAAAATAGCACATCTAAAGTGCGCACTTTACTCCGGAAAATACGGTAAACTCATTGTAACTCGGATGGTGAGCCAATTGAATTATTGTGAAAAGAAGAAGGACAAAATGTTATGAGTTATGACTAACTGTCCACCAACGTAACCAGATCTTATACAGGCATTCTTTGTTGCCGTGATGCGTAGCTCGTGCTCTTCTTCGTTGCGCTTTCCTTCCCCTCTTGGACCTTTCCGAACCTGAGCCTTCCAAGTTGGAAGGTTGTTGGTTTGCGCCTTGGAGAAGTGATGGAGCTAGGTGTCAGGTCGCCAAATGTCTCAGTACTCCTTGTCAGTTTTGTGCCATTTCGTCGCACTCGCTGACTGTATAAGATCTGGTTATTTGTTGGTGGACAGTTAGTTAAACTCATTGTTTGTGATTCGGTTGGAAACCCCCCCCCCCCCCCCTAGAGGTGACTCTGCGTACGCGCCTGAGTCGTATAAACCCGGGTTTACTAATACGACTCCCTGTCCCTGATGGACATACAATTTATTACAAAGTCATGTACAAGCAAAACATTTATTATTGTTGCCGAAAGGGCCGCTAGGGTCAGTATGGAAAGCATCAATACAATTTTAATGACGGATCATTTGTACTCACAGCCACTACAGCCTCGGACCAAGCCGTTGGTTTAGGCAAGGCAGGACATCCAACACACTGCCACTGGCTTGATGACAGGGAAGTAATTAGTTGCTCAGCGGTCATAGCGGGTGATCCGCGACTCATTCTTTGACTGTCACTGTCGCTAGGCCGGAGAAAGATCCAGTTCAGGTACTAGTATTCGGTAGTACTCAGTACCTTATTGACCGGCGTGCACATGGCCTCTGCTAGCCAAGTACAGTGGAAGCATCTCAAACTCTAATTTCTAAAGAGAACATCCGGAGAAGAATTATTAATTTTATTGTACTCCACTCCAGTCAAGCTCGCACTGCGCCTTGTAGTATGAGTTTTGCTGTGGAGCTTTCAACGCGATGTTTGTCAGGAGTTCAGGTGTTGTCTAACACCATGAGGCATGAACACACAGTGCCATGCACTAGGCCGAGTCTTGAGCGCGCGGAAACCTCGAAGTTCGCACCCATGCCATGGTTGTCGTGTCTCACCTTCTCACCTATTTCTTTTACAGTAGTGTTGTCATCATGATCATAGCAGAATCAGGTTTGAACTTTCCGGGTAGATCTACTACTACTGTAGTAGGTGAGACTGGGGCAAAGACTCCTAAAACTGTGACAAAGGAAAACAGCTTGCGCTCTTGATTCACACGTGGAACATCGAAGATTACAGAGTACTGTCTGGTAAGAACTGGGGATTCAGAGTGCTATTAGTATTACTGCAGTACAAGTGACTCATAGCCTAGCCATAGGGCTAGACTGTTCCTATTTTTTCATGCAGAAATCTTGCTGGAGAGCCCATGCTTGGTAGTGCTTTGGTGGATGATGCTGGCTTCAACATCATCCGCACTGGTACAGCATTCCCACAGTTAGAGGCGCATGCAATGGCGACGGCAATACGTTGTAGGCTACTGCAGAGTGTCTGAAGATATAACAGGTCAAGGTGTGTTAAATTAGAGTACACAAATCATAGAGTATAAATATCATGTACACACGGCACACACACACACACAGCCGATGGTGAATTTTCAGGGTAAACACACGTAACACACACGGCACAGTACTGTGCCGCTGTATTTAACTTAACTTAAGGAATCGTTGATTACGTGACCCCAATGGCAAACAATATAGAAAGCTTGAAACAAAATTAAAATGGCAAGGCTCACGTGATAAGTGTCAAACTGAGCAATATTCAATTCGGCAATGTTGCATAAAGTGCTTGCTGATGCCAATATTTTCTTGCTTCTAAAAATACCCTTTGTGGGGAAATGGCATTCAAAGTGGCCAGTAACTGTGGGGACTGCAGCAAACAAAAGCACCCTAAAAGGAACACATGGCTATGTCAGTATGCCTAACACTATATACCGGGCCGTTTCTCTGTCAGCACTCAAGGCAGACCACAACCACAAGGCCCTAGAGTCTTTCTTTTCGTTCTCAAGTAATAACATGACATGCACGAGTGCATGTACATGATCAAGCAACCAACCTATGCCGCTCTGCATAGTATGTCCTGGCTACCCGGCTACAGCCAAGCTACTGCGGCCTCGGCCTCAGGCTTTCCTTCCTTGGCGGTGCAGGCACGATATGTTCTTCGTAGGGATGAAGTCTTTTAGGAACCGATATTGCTTGCTCATTGACCTGTTGAGGTGTGGTCAGAGTAGGAGAAGGTTTCAGAACACTGTCCGATACAAGCGACGGTAATATATCGTCACTGACGTCATTACTGACGGGACGTTGACGGATTTTTCGCTTGGCACTTCGCTCAGTTGATGGCATGGACGACGTCCTCGTCAATTTCTTCGCAACACGACTTACAATTGAAGATTCCCTGGGATGTGTACTTTCACCGTCCATTGTCGGCTGGTCGAGGGATTGGTGGAAGCTGGAGGCGACATGATTGCTGCCAATGTATGGCGCTGGCTGAAGTATCGCCCGATGTGGTGCAGCGGGGTCATGGTGAAGAGTGTACACAGCTCCACTTGGGCCAGCTGGTGTTAGCACCTGAGCAAGTCGGCCATGTTTCTCAACTACGACCTTGGTCGATGCGTACAGGGCTGAAGTGGACTGGCCCCGTATCTTATTCCGCTTTTCACTTTGCCCACTCGCTGTGAAGGTAAGGTCGTTGTGTTTGCCACTCAGTTCGCACACTTCATCCTCTTCTAGATCGTCTTTACTCAGCGCATTTATAGAGCGTGTCAAGTCTTCCACCGAGTCCTGGTTGTTTATCAACGGCTTTGTCCAGGAATGGTTTGGAGAGCATGTGCTCTTGCCCGTCACAGGGGGTGCCGACGTTGGCGGTGTTGGCATGGCAGATGCGCTGGCATAGATGGCAACAGAAGCTGAGCTGGCCGCAGCACTGGATCGCTTGTTGGTGACAAGCTTGCGGCCGCTCATGCGCTGCACTCGGCGCTGGTAGTGGCCAAGAGAGTCTCTCTTTTCCTCGTCCGTCAACTTCAGCGTTCCGTTCAATGTACGCCGGATTGAGCCTAGGAGAGAAATAATACAAGTACGGATTGCAAAGTACGCATAAGCTACATGGATCCAAAAAATAGTACGCATAAGCTACATGGATCCAAAAAATGCACTGAACCTATTGTATCACCCCTGACCCCAGTCTCCAGATAGCTAGCCATGTCAACCTCGTTAGGTCTACTGAACCCATCCAGTATGGCACTAAAACCGGATCTGATCCTCACGGATAATTAATTGGCTTTTTAGCGTTGGTTGTAACTAACTTTAAGTGTTGTTTTTTTCATCCGTGAAAGTAGACGCATGTGCCAGGTGACAGTTTCAAAGTCGGGGAGGTATCTGCCACTGTAAGTATAAGGACGTGTGATTGGTAGTGGAGATGCCAAAAAAAACATTCGTCATGCTTGGAAATTCTACAATGAAGTACTTGTAATACTACTAGTACTTTAGGGACTCAGGTTTGAGCAAACAATGTTATGTTGGTCGTCTGCACAACTTTGAGGATTTGTTGTATTTCGGGATGGGGAAAGTTCAGGTGCAGCTCGCTTCCGAATTTGAAATACCGATGCATTCTGGAAGAAAAACCATCCACTGATCCACATGCATGTTTATTCATTAGAGGTAGGGGTATGAGTACACTTTTTCAGTTTGTTCTGAAAAAAGTACCAGTATATACGGGGATGGTGCCTTACTGTATATTCCTGATGCAGCCCGCCGTGGCAGAGTATCACCGACACTGCTTGTGATATCTTCATTCAATGCCAGTGCCGTTGCTCTGTCAACCCTGCATGCCTGTCGTAAGAAGTCGCTCAGCCACACAGCACCCATGCGTCCCATGGCAACCAGCAGCCGATCAGTGATGCGATTCACTGGCAGGCGCGTGTGCAAGTCCTTGAGGAGCGCCTCGGTCGGACTTGGACGTTGCAGACTAAAGAACTTGACCTGCTCCTCGGTATAGCCAAGCAGTGCCGCCAACGTGGAGTAGTCCTGATCGCCCATCAACGGCCTGTCTAGGATTGCTGCCATCTGATTCACTTGCGCCTTGGTCAGTTGCTGCCATGGTGACACCAGTAACCATGGCCACGGTCCCGCTGCTGAAGAATTGCACAGCAGTGAGTCGGGCATTTTCTGCAGCACATCAACACCAGTACACGTCAACACCAGCACCAGCACACGCACACGCACACGCACACACACACACACACACACACACACACACACACACACACACACACACACACACATACACACACACAGATTTTCTATTATTCCAGTCCTCAGTCTAGCGAAGGTGCACATTAGTACTGCAATATGCCAAAAGGCTATTCTGTAACTAGGCTATGGATGGTCACATGTAGAATCATGGAGAGGCAATGTCGATCTACTGCTGGTTCATGCACACCGGGTCATGCTTCAAATAAGGGCTAGCATAGACCAATTGATGCAGTGTGTCTGGTAAATTGGTAATACATGTACACGTAAAAACTTCAAAAGGTTACACACAGCAGACTACAGCAAATCTACAGCCCGCAGATAGTTTTGTCATACCTTGTCCATCTTCATCTGGGCCTTAGTTGACCACTGACTGAGCAGCTCAAATGTGATGTTATCGAAGTCATCCGCCACGACAACATCTGTTCTGACACGCACCAGAGGCAATGGCAGGCAACCGTGCACTTGTCGCAATCTGAACTCTACGAACGGTGGCTGTTCTAGGTTTGGCCAGCAGCCTTCGCCATGCAGCACCTATATTGTGTTCATGTAACGAAAGAAAGAAGACATGTCAAGTTAGAGCGGCAGAGGTAGCAAGCTTTTCTTCGTGTCAAGTGTCCACAAGGGCCCGGTCACACATGCACAGGGGTTCCGCTTCAGCGGCGAGGTTTTACGGCAGCGAGGCTTGTGCCTCAACAGCGGAACAATGTGTGTATGGTGATTGGTCACACGCATACAGGCAGGGCAGCTCCTACTTTGACCGAACAATGAGAGTGAATAGAACTCTGGTGCATACGGTACGGTAAATCCACGCGGACCATGAATATCTTCAACACGTTTCTACTTCATGCACATCATACGCATACACATGTATTGTAGCAAATCCATTTACAACAGTACATGGTGTTTCCGCTGAAGTGAAACCACAGAAGCAAAATTGCAGAAGCGAGAGTGCCGCTCAAAACATATTGGAGGCAGTAGCTTTGATTGTTCACTGAAGCCGAAGTTTTGCTTTTCACAGGTACCATGGTATTTTAAGCTCCTGAGGTGTCCACTCAATGGGACAGCTAATTGAGTGAATGTGTGACAGGGCCCTAAAACTCCAAGGCTTTTTAAACAAGTTCCCTTCTAGGCCTGGATCACACAGCAACACACTGACATAGCTTTGTTGTAAAATGATGTGTTGTTTTCCTGTGTGATGACATTCCCCAAACTGTCTTCGTCTAGTCGCGTGTATGTGTGATATGAGCATGCGCGATGTTGTAGTCGAGAGTCTTCTTGTCGGTCTCTTTGAGTGTACAGTAAACACCTGTAATGGCGACCACTCGGATATGGCGACCACTCGACCATGGCGACCACATTTCCTTGTCACGGACGCATTCGCATTCAAAACAGCTCGGATAAGGCGACCACTCGCTCAACGCGACCGACGACCACCCACCCGCGACCGCGTTGCACAGTCAGTGCTAGTACATGTAAATGTAGGCATTGCATGGTGCAACATGCATGGTAGATCTACACATCAGTGCAGGAAGTGTAGATGTGCATGGTGCATGCACAACACTTGACAGGTCTGAGGACCCCAGGCCAGGCACATGAGTCGTGCTAGAGTAGCATAGGAGGTGTGTGCACTGCAATACACTGATCAAACTGATGTATCACATGTGGATATGGTCACGTGACCCACTGAACTTGGATATGAAGACCACCTGGCCACGGCGGCCACTTTTTCTCGTCCCTTGAGGGATCGCCTTAGACAGGTTTCACTGTAGTCTGCGTTTCCATCATGTCAATAAAATAATATTGTAACAAACAAGTCCTGTCCTTTGTGTCCTGCGTCCCGGGGACAGAATGGCTGTGATTCCGCTACAGCTTTCTGAAATTTATGGAAGGCAGTAGACATTGCTGCCTTTGCCAAGACACATGCCAGTGGGGAAGCCGTTTATAGCTATCAATGGCAACATGCATGGTGAAGAATGATTGAAGCAGTACAGAAAGTCTGTACATGCGGTGCTGAAAGCTGTGCAGAGCTCCCCCTGTGCAGTTTCAAGCGGGGTGATAGTTGTCCACCGCTGGAATGCGCGGAGTACATATGAACTTTCATCAAGCTTTGTTGGTTTCTAAGGAAGTTTGCTAGGTTGTTCATCCAACCAGGAGCCTCACCGCTAATGTTAGCTCTGGCATAACACGCTGCTACCACTGATTAGTTTAAGTATATGTTGGTGTTTTCAAAAGATTGGCAGATTGCACCTACCCCGTGTGAGCTGCCATCCAGTGCACACCCCTCAGTGATGGAGGATATGAGAACATGTACATAGCTATGCTGAGGTAAGTGGAACGGCTGTGGCATGCCAACGGGCATCATGTTGAACTCCTTAGCATACTGGGTGATTGTCTGCAGTGGGACAAACACAGGAGGACAGTCCGTACACCTTTCTCGACATGTGGAAGAAAAATACAAAAACTTGTTCCATACGAAAAGCTGAGCATCTAACTTAAGGAGAGACGGTGATCGGGGCATTGCCTATCAATGCAGGGGCGTCGGACACGGTACGGTCACTACGGTATTGACTGTACCACTTTTTGCCCCAGGTACCCCGTGAATCAACAAAATGCACTGATCTGGACTCTAAATTTCCAAAATTTTCGGCTCCACCATCCCTCCCCCACGAGTAAACTGTACTTCGGATGACTGACCGTACCACACTAAAATACCTTCCAACGCCCCTGCAATGGGATGTGCATGTACAGTGTATCCCGTTTCATAATCCACTATTACACTGTCAAAGATGGAGGAATACAGTGGATACGATTCTAAAGCAATCTAGTCATCATCTAGGAGAGAGACTTAAAGTCACTATCTAGGAATACGAAACACATGCACAGGTTTACAAGTGGTTATTCACTTGCCTTCACACAATGGCAAAAGCGGTCAAATACAGTTTCATTCATAATGCCGTGCACCGAGCAGTTCGGATGACTCACCTCATAATCCACAGTTCTATCTCTGTGCAGAAAGACTCTTAGAGCCCAGGTCTGGTCCTCGTCCAGTGCTGCGGCAAAATGACTCAAGCACATGCTCTTCACCCAGATACCACTGTCGCAGCGTACGGTATACAGCGCTGAGTCAGTCACGCCAAACTCCACGTAGCCCGACGGGCAGTCCCCGCCGGCAGAGCGAGCTTCCTGGCTGCACTCGACAAAGTCTGCCACGGGACCCACATCAGTCCATTCCGAGTTGGTACCATCTTCATTCAATTTGCTGGTCATAACCACCAGGTTATTCACCTAAAGTAGAAACACAACAGTCAAAGAAATCAAGAGTTCAAGACAGTGTCAGACCATAGCCATGGTCACTAACACAGTACCTACAGCTGATTTTAAACAGTCACCATTTTTGTAATGAAGAGAGTGTGGTGTGTAGAGCGTGGGACTATGATAAAGTTCCTCCTGCGTATGAGTTTTTATCAAGAGCACCAGCAGTATTACACAGTGCGAACGCCTCATATCTGCATGTTGCTATGATAGGCAAACAGAGGCCACAGAGATCAGCAATACTAGTACCCCGGCATGAATCATACCAGAGCTCCATTCACTGGCTCACCTCTGGCAGGGAATCATAGCCGGTTTCATCGTTACTGTCAATATCCATCAGATGGCATGACAAGGGAACACGCACTTGGCACAGGGATGCTGAGGATGTACCGGATACTGCCGACAGTGATGATACAGTGTACACTGACGTGACTAGGGATGATGCCTGGTCTAAGTCGGGTTGATCCTCTGGGCGCGATGATGTACCGATGGTCACAGCTCCAGCTTGCGAGCCGCTCGTATCTGTGAAGGATAGTATCACTTGCATCTGCTCCGATGTGAATATGTTAGCCTCACCATCAGCGGTCATGCGAGCACTCAGCACCGGAGCACGTAGATCAACATTACTCTCACCTGGCAAACTGGGCCAGAAGCTCAGGTCCATGGCGGCCATAGTGGTGTTAGAGCGCAGGGACATGGTGTTGTCGGCCATCGGAGGCAAGTTGTCGTTGTGACCGATAATGGGGAAGTTTGCACGGTCTCCGAGGTTTGGCGAGAAGCTGCTGCTGGCGCTGGTGTCCTCCAGTAGAGCAGCTGACTTCTGACTGCTCTGCGGTGCCAGTGTGCGGTGTGTAGCAGTGGCGTCGGGCGTTTGAACCTGACTGCCTTCCTGCGGCAGTGCATCACTTCCAGAGTCAGTTGCACCTTCGTTGAAATAGTTGAACTCAACCTGCGGCTGGCCAGACTCCAGTAGGTAGCTATCATTGGCGTCCACAAAGTAGTTGCCTGCAAAGTGTTTATGTGATGATGTGCCGTGGTTACTTGGCCCGCCACCACTTCTTTCGATGGCCGTAGATCCACCCCATGCCGAACTGTGCAGTCGCGAGAATCTGCCCGACCTACGGTAACAGCAGATATAGAAGATGAGCCACGCGACCAGGATGATTACACATGCCACCAAGACACCAATGCCCACGGCCAGGCCAATGTCGTTCTGGCAGGAGTCTGCCGACGATGCAGGAGCCGTTGGCGGCGTTGCAGGGCAAAAGCAGCCGTTATCCATGCTGATATGAGAACTAGAAATGGGAAACAAGATGGTCATACAGGCATTGGATTACTATCTACATGTATGTACACATACATGTACCGTATTTTTCAAAGTATAAGCCGCGCCCAGATTTTCGTCACAAAATACAGACATCTACCCTCCATATGTCCTTTTCCTTTCTACTTTTATTATTGGCTCAATACCCGAGTTTCAAATCTACCCTATTTTCACCATTAATTTGAACATCGTAGTATAAGCCGCACCGATTGTTTTGGGTGAATTACTGGTAAAGTGCGGCTTATACTCGGGAAAATACGATAATACATTCATATCGCCGGCCTGGGCGAGAAGTCCATACTGTAACCTGGATAGATCAGTGTCAAAACTGTTTACAAGGAGAAGCACTTCCCTGGACTCGCCAGGGCCGGCGCGACTGGTACGGCCGGTACGGCCATGGCCGTACCAAAAAAAAAAAATAATAAATAAAACTTCCCAAAAACGGTCCACGTGGAACGTCCAAAACCGGGGAGAAAAAGTTTCGATGTATGATTTTGTACAGGGAGTCGCCCAGAGTGCAGGATTTGCCGTCTAAATTCCAAAACTTTCAGGGGGAGGACCCGCAGACCCCCATTAAACATGGCCCTTCGGCCGCACCACTCCGCGGAAGCTGCCTCCGGCCCTGCTCGCTATTGCAATACTGGTGGAGGAAGCAAGGTGGCCATGGATACAGCACACTGCAGCCTAGTACTGGCACAATAGTACATGCATCTATAATGTGCACAATTTTTATAATTATTATTTTATTCATATTTTAATAGGGCAGTCCCCACAGACTCAAGGTCTTCTTACGGGGTACCCTAAGAATGAAAGTAATGCATGGCGAAATAGGGATGGCGATGCAGCAGTGCGTATATCAGATGGAGCACTATTCCATCTGTCTGCAGCCAAATTAGAGAGAGAAAACAGACCGTAGCGTGAAACAATCTGCGGACAGAACTGTTTCGTCCTTTGTGGACTCATCAGCGCAGCACAGAGAAAATGAGGCCGAATCTGATGGCAATGAAAAGTAAATTTTCCAAAGCCAGATTTATACCAGGCCCAAATGCCGGTACCTTGCCAGAGTGCTCAAACTGACAAGTCAGTGAACATCTATAATACATGTACATGTGTGTGTGTGTGTGTGTGTGTGTGTGTGTGTGTGTGTGTGTGTGTGTGTGTGTATGTGTGCGTGTGTGTGTATGTATATATGTGTGTGTGTATGTGTGTGTGTGTGTGTGTGTGTGTGTGTGTGTGTGTGTGTGTGTGTGTGTGTGTGTGTATGTATGTGTGTGTGTATATGTATGCCAACCTGTCAGAAGGCTACCTTCTTGCCAAAGCATTTGGAAGTTGGACTAGTTTCGGCTCCACAATCCAGTGTGTCGTTACTATAATTAATAGCTTTCATGGCTGAGGTTGTTGATATGTCTGTTGGCTCTGGGTTCCCAGTACCCAGTAGCCGAGGCTGGTTGGTAAAGTAACTCCGATTTCACTTCAAGGTACCAGTGCATATAGTGTCTGCTTTAACAAAGCAGCGTGCTGTCTATACTGGTTACCAGCAAGTGTAGGGTGTGCATAGGTAACTGTCTTGGCCGTTTTATGCCAATGTACTCTGTGTGGTGTAGACCAGGTGTGCATTGGTGGTCGATTCACATGGCTTCGCCAGTTGTGTGGATTAGACAGTTATCTGGCGCAAGTCTTCATCTGTCTCATTCAGATCTTGTTCGCTATCGTTGCTATAAAGAGAAAATCTGTAGGTGCACATCCAGTGCGTTTGTAGATTTGCGTGCTTCTCTCGCCACGGGCGTATACATGGTATATGTATGTGTGCGTATGTGTATGTGTATGTGTGTGTGTGTGTGTGTGTGTGTGTGTGTGTGTGTGTGTGTGTGTGTGTGTGTGTGTGTGTGTGTGTGTGTGTGGGCATGTGTGTGTGTGTGTGTGTGTGTGTGTGTGTGTGTGTGTGTGTGTGTGTGTGTGATATGTGTGTGTGATATGTGTGTGTGTGTGTGTGCGTGCGTGAGTGAGTGTGTGAGCATAACAGTATAATGGCAGTGCTGTCAGCTCTGTATTTCATTGTCCAGAACTGCACAACACACCACGACTGCACAACACAGCGGTACGCATGAAAATAGAAGCTTCACTAGTAACATTTGCTGATCAAAATGGAGGTAGTAGTGGCATTAGGAGTCGTGAGCTTTGTTATTCGCGCTCTTTCCACCCGCACGGGTACACGTCGGTCGATTGTGCTGCATCCGCATGCACTGCCGCATTACCGGCCTGTCCATCCTAATTGCAGTTCCCAACACAGTGCCCGTCACACTGACCGACGCAGGTGTATCAGGCAAGACAGGACAATTGCTCTCACTATCTCCCAGTTCACTCCCACTTCATGTAAACGTGGGCAATTGCCTATTTCCACTTTCGAAAAAGACACATCTGTGCACACACAATATTGACTGAACGAAAATTGAAGCTCACCTCGGAATAGAAGAGACACCGTTATCCACTCCTCTCAAGTCCGACACATCAACGATTCTGCCTAGAGCTCACGAAAAGCAGTTCCCGTCGCGTGTCGCTCAACATAAGCACACGTAGCTTGCGCACATCCCAGGACTCGACTGGAAAGAAAATGTCGCCTTGCACAATTTTGGTAAGATTTTGCCAGGATGGTTTGCTGGCAAAGGCTGAAACTAGCCACGCTACTGAAACAGCTCCAGAGTTGCTAGACTCTCTGCTGGATGCCAGGTAGGTTGTATGAACCAGACCTGGCAGTGCTGGGCAAGAACTCATGCAGTCATGGAGCGGAGGATGTGTGGCTGAATGTGACAACCGCACTGCGCAACCAGGGGTCGATCTGCTGTCGACAGTGCTACCTCTGTTGCCGACCAAGTATGGTCGAACTGAGTAATGAGTGCACGCCGTGGTCTAGGCTAGAATCGAAGTCGAGCCATGTAACGGCTCTGAAAGACTGAAGCTGTACGGGTAGATCTAGAGCTACAGAGTCAGTGTGCATCACACACAGCACTTGGAAGATCACAGCGTGGTAGATCTACTGGCAGTGGCAGGGCTAGGTCCTGGGTGTAGACCACGTAACCACGTAACTACGGCGAGTGAACCGTCGAGCAGCGCTGCAGCAGTGCAGTTTGCAGTGAAGGTGGTGATAGTCGTAGATCTACGGTAGTCCTCCGCACCAAGGTCTACCAAGAACAAGTAAAAGTTCAGTTGAACAACCCAAACTCTGTCAGAAACAAGTAACTTGTTAGTTAGTTGTTACCGGGGCAAACGTAACAATAATGTTGTGTTGGTAAAGAGAAAGGCAACCGTGCGGAAGTGGGGCTGCAGATACGGTATCATCACCAATGACAGTGCATCTGTACATGTACATGATGTACGTGGATATGATGTAGGCGTTGGCGACGGGGCTGCTTCAAGAGGTCATTCGAAGAGAGAAGCTTGAAGTTTTGAACCCCTACACATAATGTACAAGTAGTAGAAGTACTTCGGGTGATGTACGAGTCCCTTCGCTGCGCTGATCGTGTGGATATGAACGTAGACCTCTACAGTCAGTCTATGCATGCAAGCATAGCAGCAAGACGGTGCCACCTCGGCCACAGTAAGCTACAAGTACAACAGACTCACTGACTCAGTACTATCGGTGTTGCGTCGTTTTCCTGTCGTGATCGCTATCGGATGCTGAGGGAAGCACGCGTGCTTGAGAGATGGAATGAGCAACCGGTTAACCGGTTAATCTAAGTACGTTTCTATCAATTGTCCCGCTTCACTTCACTACGTGAAGTGGCATACCATAGTAATAGTGTATGTGTGACTGTCCTAACGTCTACTAGTAGTACTAGTACAGCACACTATACTGTGCTGCACAGAATGTCAGTGCACTGCTGGTCAGTAGAGATCCAATACGATGTCTACACACGCATACCTACTGACTCGTATCAAATTAATACACTTACATGCATAAGTTATAGCACTATCGAGTGAAGAATGCTAAGCACTTCTGGCTGAGCGATGACCCACTCAACTGAAGTCCCTGCCTAGTTTGGGCCTTCCACAAGTTTCCAGTGTCCCACTAACTGACTTGAGAAAACAATACGGCAAGCCGAAGGTAATTACCTTACAAGTACAAGTACAATGATGCTAGGGCCAAGAATAACCTTTCGCCAAGTCGCATTATCGCGTCGTAACGTTAATACCAACAAAGCGGATCTGTACAACTAAGATTGACGTGTTATCTGTGTCACCAACACATGGTTGACGGTCAGCTCTGCTACTTTACTGTCTTCTGTAGTCTTCAAGCCTGTACATGTACATGTACATCCTGTGCCAGAAGATAAGGTTTAGCCTTTAGGCAATCCTTGCCAATGGTTGGGTTAGAGCCACTATAACTAGCCTTCTTAGGTTATCATGGTTATTGTAATGTTAGATAATCCATTCCCCTACCACAGTGCCCGTACGTACATGTTGGATACATACATGTACATGTGCGTGATTGTACTGCTACTGTGCTAGTAGTTGTAGGTAGTGCATGTGGTAAGGGAAAGGAAGAAATGCTGTACTGGCAGTTTTACGAATACACCACAGAGATTAAACCGAACGCGTGGCGCCAATGCCAATAATTATGTATGAGGTCGTGTCCACGGATGGCTCCTACGTGTATTACGCAGAAGCGACCGGGTGCGTGTCTGGGCATGGGTGGAACATGGGAATTACACTGCATTGTGTATACAACATATTGGCTCAAGAAGCAAGAACAGGATATCTAGCACATTGGAATATTGGGGGAATGGCAGGAATCCATCTATCCTCGATCCTAGCTTTCTTCCTTTCATATTCTACTACATGTAGACCTACCAGTATTATACTGGTGCGCAGGAAGAACTCGGATGGTGAGCCTGGACACAGGGGAAACAGTTGGGCACCATTAGTTATGCGTTAGAGTCCACCGACTAAGCCAGGTTTTGAACAGTCAGACGTGCACAAGGTAGCGCCAGACTGACAAGGAGTACTGAGACATTCCACGGCAAGGAAGTCAGCTTGAGCACAGCTCGATAGCGCTAACCAACGGCCTTCCAACTAACTTGGAAGGTTCATGGATATTAGACTTAGTGATAATTCCAAAGAGGGGAAGGTAAACGCCATCAAGCCGAACACCAGCTACATTCCCAGGCACAATGGAATGCTGGCTTGGTACGATAACGGGACGGTAAGACCATTGGACAACACGGTCTAACCACAATTCGACAACGCAAAGCAACAAGTCAACCACCCAACATGGGAGGCTCATTTTTATCAAGGATAAGAAATGAAAGGGAAGCTTCGCGACGCATAACTTGTGCCCCACCGTTTTCCATGTTTCCATTGAACATGTACATGACATTGTACACTGGGAGTTGCATCTTTTGAGCGAAATGTTATCATCAGGACCGTGGCGTTGGCTACTTCTTCCCTTTTCAGGAACACAGCCCCATATTGTGTGAAACGTCATGTTATTGTGTTTCAATCTCTCGCTGAACGAAGCGTGGCTCAAAACGGAGATACGAGTACTTAAAAACACAACTAGTTATTCTTTGTATCCGTGGTGCTCGTTCTCGTCCTGGTTTCCCGGTCTCCAACGTTTCGTGAATAGTCCTGTTGTGGTGGCCGAGTCTCGCCTCGTTACGTAACTTTCTGATCGTGTACTATCCTGATGTTGATGTGTCATTCAGAGCTATGTGTCCATCATGCTCCCATCCCTTGTCACGTCGTCACCTCCGATATTACACGGGGACTAGCGCCAAACAACTGCGGGGACAATACATTTCCTTCTGAACACATACATTGTAGAACCGTGGACAACTTACGAATGTACAATGCCTCTAGAACAGCCGTGTGCAACTTAGATATACTGTACCGCGAGCCAGAACAGAAACTACATCATCACTCTTCAGCTCACGACAACTGCCGCTGCCTGACAAATGAAGGTTGATGGCTGACTGACGTTGCGTTTAACTCCCATCCCTTGTCACGTCGTCACCTCCGATATTGTGGCGGATGAATCATATTGCCTTTGCGGTTACGGGTCGCTCGTTCGGTAGCCAACGGTCCTGTCGTCACATGTGGTGGTTTCGTCGGCGGTCTCCCTCGTTTTCTTACATCCACTTTTGCCGTCACCTCCAATGTTCCAGTTTGGGCGGCTTTTCCATTGCGCGTTCTTACTTGACTGCGAGTGAACCTTCCAATCTTTGCCACGGGCACCGTCTTCGGCGTCATTATTAAGACTAAGAGATGTGCACATGTGTGTGAGTGTGTGTGTGTGGGGGGGGGGGGATCATCTAGTGCCATGTAAAACAGCTGGTACCATTAGGAGAAAGCACACCGTCTGGTATAAATTAAGTGCTCCATTAGAGGATAGCAGGCCGGATTTCAGGCAAGGGAGCAGAAAGGCAGACAGACCAGCGGAGACAGCTACGGACAGACCAGGGAGAGTACAGAAATGAGAGTAAGGCTAGAACACAAGGAAGAGGTGAGAGACAAACAGTCTAACAAAAAGAGAGATCAATAGATAGATAGACTTGATAGAGAGAGGGAGAGAGAGAGAGAGAGAGAGAGAGAGAGAGAGAGAGAGAGAGAGAGAGAGAGAGAGAGAGAGAGAGAGAGAGAGAGAGAGAGAGAGAGCGAGAGAGCGAGCGAGAGAGAGAGCGAGAGAGCGAGTGAGAGAGAGAGAGAGAGAGAGAGAGAGAGAGAGAGAGAGAGAGAGAGAGAGAGAGAGAGAGAGAGAGGGAGAAAGGGAGAGAGAGAGAGAGAGAGAGAGAGAGAGAGAGAGAGAGAGAGAGAGAGAGAGAGAGAGAGAGCGAGAGAGAGTGAGAGGATGAGCCAGACGGAGAGACAGAAAGAGAGAGAGCGAGGGAAGGAGAGAGACAGAGACAGAGAGAGAGAGACAAACAGACAGCATGCTTTAGAGACCAAACGCAATTTTGACAGCTCTGTGGCAATACGCGGTATTTATCAAGGCATACCTTGGAGGGGTACTTTGTTGCTTTTAAAGCTACAGAATTCACCATCCTATTCCGTTTTGTTTTGGGAGATCAAGAAGAAAAATGCCTCCCATCGCATTACTCTCACTAGTGACTCAACTTTCTGCAGTAGTACCTTCCTATACACATCTCCGGAGGTATCCGTAAATTCTAGTCTGTATCCCAGAGACTGCTAGTCTTACTTCGAGGTACTACATGATGATGCATGTACTGCAGTATGTACAAGTATGTAAGGAGAAGAGATCTCATGCACCGCAAAGAGTACTCAACAGTGCTGAGATGCACTGGAGCTAGTACACACAATGGAAGCGGTTGGGTACTCACCAAGGACACATATCCGTTGCTACTCAGAGTTTCTTGAATCAATCACTCATCAGGTTCGTTGTGGTGCCATGTGCCTGTGTGGCTCAAGGAGGATGTTTGCTCCTTCCGTGACTGAGTCCCCTGCAGTGCTAGTGGTGGCTGAGGCACGCATCCAGTGAACCTGCAGTGATCCTACTGAGTCTGTATAATCATTACTATATCCGATGATTCGTTTTACGTAATTGTGTTGATGGTTCACAAATGTGTTATTTTGCCCGTACAAGAGGCTCAAGGAGTTCATTCCTAAAAAAATCACTTATCAAGCATCATAACAAACTGAAGCAGGGCTATAAAGATCACTACAACATCCATGTACTAGTACCTGTATTCAGCCGCAACGCAAGGCGCACAAAAAGGACAGTGTGAACGTGAGAAGCAGCAGGTGGAGGTGGTATAAAAAATTCCTCTATTGAAATAGGCGTGAATTCGCTGCTGTAAGCGCGCAAAGCCGGAGCACACCAGGATAGAATGAAGATGTGATATTCTTAGCTTTACATGTACATGTACATGTATGTCCTGATCACACATGCCTACAATTTTGTAGGTCGGTAACTGCCAGATATCACTTGTCAGGTCCCAACAAGACTGATCACACAGCATGGGGCTGTGTTCCTAAAGATAAGTTTTTTTTAAAAGAAAATGGACAAAACAAAATACAAACAAGAACACGATAAGCAACAAACGCACAGGAGGGAAACGGGAAATTGCAACTAATCTCCCGACACTGCCAGAATGTGGAATACCTCATTAGCAGCAGCACGATGCCTAACACGAGAGCCACGCAAACAAGCAATGCAAGAACGCAGCAGAGCAAACGAAATCCTGCACCGAATGAAAGCCATGGCTGTAAGGCTCGGACCAGGGAGTCGTACGACTCCCTGGCTCGGACTGTTCTTCTGAGTACAGGCTAGCTATACGCTTGTA